AATGATAGTTACTGACAGGAAGTCATGTTACAGTGACAACGTGGGTCAAGTTTTCACTTGGTTGATTCCTCTTACAAATTTAAGTATCAAATTGCACAGAATGTGAGGCTTCCCTCAAAATGAGGTGCTTATTCTTTAAAACATTAAAAATAGAACTCCTACATGATTCAGCAATCACATTGCTGGCTATAGATCCAAAGGATAGTAAATTCGTGTGTCAAAGAGATATCTGCATTCCTATGTTCATTGCAGCATTATTTGCAATAGCTACGATAGGGACTCAACCTAAGTAGCCATCAATATATCAACAGATAAAGAAGATGCACTTTTATATACACAATATAATACTATTCAGCCTTAATAAAGAAGGAAATCATGACATATGTGACAGTACGAATGAGCCTGGGGACATTATATTAAGTAAAATAAATTAGCTACAGAGAAACAAATACCACATGATCTCAGGTGTGGAATCTTAAAAAGCTAATCATATAGAGAGAGTAAAATGGCATTTATCAGATACTGGAGGTTAGAGGAATTGGGAAGATGTTGACCAAAATACACCAAATTTCAGTTAGAAAATAAATTCAAGAGATCTGTTGTACATCATGGTGACTACAGTTAATAACAATATACTGTATATTTGAAAATTGCTGAGAGAATAGATTTTATGTTCTCCAAACCAAAAACTGATATGTACTTTAATGCCTATATTAAATAGTTTGATTTAGCCATTCCACAATGTATACATCTATTAAATATGATGTTGTACAACATAAATATTTATGATTTTTACCTGTCAATTTAAAAATAAAATTAACATAAAATAAGAGGAACAAAATGCATGTATTATTTTCCTGTATATACATTCACATAAACTAATCAAAATTTTGCAAGTATACACTTACATAAAATGTGTGTGATGTGTATGTATGTGTTCTCTGTGTTTTCACAAGGAAAGTTTCAATTATAATGATTTATTTTAAAATGTTATTAACTGATACGGTTATAGAAAGAATAGAATAGGCATTTGTAGTCTTTGGTAAATTGGGGCAACAAGGCATGAATATTAATGTAAAAAAATATATAAAGAATAGAACAGATAGGTGGCCCTAGGGCAAAAATTACTGCAACATAAAATAAAGAGAAACTTTATCTGAAAGAAAAGTAATTTAGACTTATAAACAACAACATCTCAGAGAGCCATGATATGAACAATTAAAAATAAATGAGTTAATTTTAATATGGCTTAGTGGTTCTGATTGATCTTACAGAGCTTCTGCTGACAATACATAAAGAATCAATTTAGAATCCAATTTACAATGAAGTTTATGATCCTCATTTAGTGGATTTTGATATCTCAGGAAATACAGTGATATAAGAATATTAAAAACTGCCCCATCTCTGTGTAATCTATACATCTTTATTAAAAAAATAGGCTAGCTTCAAGACTTCTAAGACAACTTAGCAGTGCTGAATCTATAGAATTTCCAAATCACATCAGCTATTATTTATTTATATAGGTTCATTACACATCTCATTTCCAGACTATTAACACTGATGCCATCCAATCAAATGAAAATTCATCATTTAACAATAGAGTAAACCAAATACATATATATATATATATATATACATTCTTATATATATATATATATATATATATATATATATATAGATAAATAGAGGAGAAACACAAAAAAATCATATT